CGTGTCTGTGTTTTGTCCTCCACCAGTGTGGAGGAAAGTGCCCTAAAGTCCTTAATCCTCCTCCCCACATGTATTGGATGAATCGTTTGTAAGAATGGGACTTAACACTGACTTGATAAACGTGTTGTACCAGAATTGGTTGAAACGTGAAATGTTTTGCCATGTGCTTCCAAAAATGAATTCAAATGAGTGGAGAAGACTTCAAGAGTTCTTTCAAGTGGATGAAATGCAGACTTAACTAGAGAATTCCGCCTCGTAAAATGAGACAAGCATCTAAGAGGGGCAACTTAAATGTTATCCATTGGGTCTTGTCGTCTGCCTTCATAAAATACGCGAAGTGTCATTGTCTTGAGTGTGCACAATCCACCACCTTTGGCAACGAATAGAGAAATCGTAAGACGAGGTTTTAATCTGAGGTGTCACCTTTCCATCCCACCAGCACGGCGAGAGCAACGAGTTCACGACAAAACCCTTGCATTCAACCTGGCAAATGCAATCTGCATTGCTTCAAAGAGACATTTTGCATGCCCTTTCCCGAACGTTTAGCGTTTCGTCTACACGCTTTAGTCATCCTCTCCTTTTCAACAAAGCTCCAACTAAAATTATGTCTTGATTGTGTTAATGAGGGACTTTTTCATACTTGCTGCGTCGATGTGACAGTTATGCTTCTAACATTAAAATATTTCCATAGAATTTCCACAAATTAGTTTAAGGGATCTCAATGAACATCACAAATCACTAACATCAACAGTCGACTTTGACAATACAATAATAGGGTGGTGAAGATTTTTCCCTTTGCCTCATTCTCCCTGTGAAGGGATTGAGTGCGAGTAAGTTGATTACAACAGCGCATTTTGATTGGGATCGAAAACACACGAGAGAACGCCAAAAGGAGTTCAAGTGGAGGAGGGCAGACGAAGAAGGATGTCACCTTTCCACCTCTCTTTTCCTCCCAGTATGAAGTTTGAGCTGCCCTTCAACTCAAAATGCAATACCGTAAGAGGTACATTTTTTGCTTGTCAAAAGCAGTTCCCACTTCTGCCTTTATGACTGCATCTCTAAATTACAAGACAAATAAAGTTATTTTTCCTCCTTTAACTTGCACAGAACAGGCACTTACTGACTTTTCTCCAATGCTTAGGAATTGCACTTAATTTTCTTTAAAACATTTTAATCATTCTTGAGAAGTCGTTCACAAAGGAACTTTAGTTTGTGGAATTGCAAATCTTATTGTCAGTGTGCTGTCTCCGAGGTGGGTACGCTTAATTTTTAAATCGAAATCTTTAACTTACGGAACTAACGTTCTCTTTAGACTGTGCACTTTAGAAAATCAAAAGGAAAGCCGTCAACTTTTGAGGCCCATCATCATTTGTGTTGAGCAGCCCGAAAAGCGGTTTTGGCTGAATGAAAAAGACCAAATGCCTTATAAAATGTTGTATTTACTGGTCCACTTACGGTCTACAGCTCGTTCACGATTGTAAACTTATTACTTAAAGCGAAGTAAGAGGTGTAGCACCTCTTTTCCTCGCCTTTTTTGTGGACTTTACAAAGTGTCCCTGTAGTGATTTTGGCCTCCCTCGTGATTTATGTCAGGGCGTCTTGTTAAACCAATGAGTAGTTGTTTCACCCTCGAAGGAGATGTAAATTCTAGAAAACGCTTTACTTCACACAGCAAAAGCAAATCAAACCATCCAGGAGTGAAGTGTAGGCTTCATGAAAGGCAAGGTTAAGTATAAGGCAATCTTTTCAAAGACTTATGTTGAACATCACAGAATGACTGCTGAAAACACGAAATCTGTTTCCTGTTCGAAGTCGCTCACACAGTCTGTCCGTCGTTACATTGCTCTCTTAGTCCAACAAAGGCTATCTACGGTCATAGAGCCAAGCAAGTCACGGCGTGCCTCAATCTGTTCCACTTATTTGCTGGAGGTGTGCTGGGGTTACTCTTCCCCCTAGAAAAAGTTTGGATCAATCGGCCTCCACTAACTCACTGGCACCTATACGCTCTGCCACTACCCCCACGAACGCCGGAAGTAACCTCAGCTTCATCACACCTTGCGCATCCAAAATGACCCACATAACGTGCAGATGAAAGAAATTTTCAACGAGTTTTCTTAAATTTGATAAAATCCTTCACAAGTATGTGTGGATATGCAGTATTAGAGGACTGAGAAGGTCCATTTTAAAGCTTTGCTATTCACTCATCGTCCAAAGGTCAATTTTAGGTGTGCAGAGTTCAGTGAACATCGTGGCACTTCACAAATGCTAACAGAGAGTCAGAATTTAAGATTTTGGAATACTGAACCGAAAATGAAGACTGTCGTGCATATATCGGCTGCTGCCGACTTGTGTAGGCGCAAATGGGCTTAAACAATTTGTTAATATCTTTTTGGAATTTACCTTAAGTACTGCTGTGAAAGTAACGAAGTAAACAAAATCTAAAGGTGCTTCTATTTTCCTCAAGTTTTTTTTAAATTGGAGACAAGTCAGGTGGATTCCCTAAGTTTTGATTTAACTATTACCTGGCTCTCCTTTTTAAACGAGTGCGCTTAAAGCAAGAATAGTTGAGACGTCAAGGAAATATTCAAAGGAAAATAGAAGATGCAAATAGCAAGTGACAAATGACAATTGCCTAATGGAGGAGCGAGGCAGCATCGTTAGAAATCGAACTGAAGCCAAACATTAGACGAGTGTGCCTAGTCGAAGTGAACCATCATATAGTTTGGCGTCGCAGTCCGATTCCTAACGGACACGTACGAGGATGTGAGGTACTTCGAACACAATCAACAAAACTTAATTAGAATTGCACAGCATACAGCTGAGGTGACGCTAATGAGTGACGATGGCGATATCATTAGATATTTTTATGGCCTCAATGCCGCTGCACTTTGGTGCTACATGGCGAAAATTTTAATACATTAAAATGTTTCAAACAAACCGTTGCATTGTTGACTCTTCTGAATGAAGTAGTAGTTGCCTGCTTGCCGTGGAAGACACACATCAGAATAAGAACCGTATCACACGATGTTTTTAACTTCCATGAAGGCGGCATAGTTTAATATCCCCTCTTACAATACACCTTTTCCATTTCTATACAACCTAAGACTTCGAAAAATTTAACTGAATGCAGACTTTTTGAGACTAAAGTTGCACTGATGCCAGGCTTTCTTGCTCTACCAGCGTCTCTCGCACTGCCATATGTTGTTTCACGCTATGACCTCGCCTTTTAGCCAATCAGAAAGAAGCACACAGCTTATGAATAAGTCTACTTGCAATAAAGCCCAAAGCCACATCAATTTTAATCTCAAATACATAAGGTTTCAACAACACACATGGTGTTAAGTGAATTTACCAATTAATCCACCGAAATTTTGGTATTTTATGGTATAATCAAATTTAAGTGTCGTACGGTAAGCAACGTAAAAA